AGAAAAAAAAAAACAACCTCCCCTGCCACTCTGTGGTAGTTGTCCCAAATGCTAGAGATATTTTGTAAACAGCATAATCTTGGTATAGAAACAGGAAGACTAGCCACTGACTACCTGTGCAACCTGTGGCAAATAATGGTGGTAATACACATCAGCCATTATCTGATCAGCTTAAATTTGTGTAGTGGCTTGCATCTGAACTTAGCTACATGAGTATATTATTTTAAATCCAGAGTTAATGGCTGTTTACCTGAATTAAATATTTTTTCACAGAAACCTACCTAGATAATTACGATTTCTCTAAGCAGCTATGGTACATCTTATTTTCCTGCCAAACCTGAGAGCGCACATTGCATCAGACACTGATAGAAAGATTTACCTGCTGGATCCCCTGTTTGTACCATGAAGCCCTTAATATTCCGATGAAATATGCAGCCGTTGTAGTAGTTACTAGCACAAAGAGCCAGGAAATTCTACAGATGAAATTGCAAGAGTGCTCTATTAAGAAACAATTCAGCAGTATTCTATTATGTTACAAAACACCTTGTGGTATACCAAAAGCAACTTTGTCAAGATTGGCAAAGCTAACTTAGCCCTTCCTACTTCGCAATGCAGGCAGATGCATCATCAGTCTTCTGCTTCTAGCTCCTGAAATATGTACAAATCCAGTTATCCAGGATCTCTCATTGTCTCTCCTTTCTTAAGACTTATAAATACAAGCTGTACTAATAACAAAAGGTAAACTACTACTACTTTTCACATCAAAACCAATATATGAGGACTGGTAAAATTTCTGCAGACAATATATGGAGGAAAAGATCTAATAGAGACATGTGACTCTTAAATACAACACAGGCACAACACTCTTATACATGTAACCAGTGATGCATCTAATTTCAGACAGGGAAATGCCCTAGTTTTATTCAGTAACAAACAAAATAACAGGACAGATGCTGCATCACATTTATGTGCATTAACTCTTAACTGAAATCCACAGGACTACTTGCAGTATCTGAAGATATAAACGTTAATCTTTGCAGTTTTGTGGCCAAAGTTAGAAAAAAAATAAATTGCAAATCACTCCTATATCCTGTCTGAGACAATGGCTAGTACCAGATGCTGTAGAAGAAGGTGCAAGACCCATCATAAACAAATTAGGAATAATCTACATGTATCAGAGTTTTTTTTCTAATTCTTGCTATAGTAAGTTGCTTATTCTCTGAAGCACGCAGTTTGTGTCTTATGCAATAAGATATCATTTTCATTATTTATAAATCTTGCTAAATTCTTGGCCTTAATGATTTCATATGACCATGAGTTCAACAGGTTATTCATGTACTGTATCAAAACTTACTTCCTCTTATCAGTTTTGAATGTGCTCCCTTTTAATGTCAATGGAAGCTCTTCTATTATATGGAAGTGTACATGAGGATGCCAAGTTTACTTTTTCTCTACCATTCATTATTTTGTTTCCATCATGTCCTCTCTTATTTGTCTTTGCTGAACACTGAACAGTTCAAGACTTGTCATATTACTCACTTCACAAGCCTTAGGAGTTCGTTCACAGAACAGCTCTATTTTAATATCTCCCACATCAGTGTGCAGAGTAACAGCCTGAGAGAGAAAGAAGAAAATCATTAACCAGCCTCTTGACTTAAAAAAGCGAAAACTAAGTCTCAAGCCCTGCTTCATTTGCTAGTCACCCTGGAGATGTAAACGTTTCCCAGTTAACCATTATTTTGATTCCTGTTCATCTCTCTGTGTATGCAATATTAAACTGGTAGCATATCTGGATTTGTTCCTATATTAGGTGAATTAACTCAGCCTGTACGCTGGGTATCTCATAGTTACAAAAAAAAGCCCTGAACTGCTTAAAAACACCTGAACTGCTTAAAAAAAAAAGTAGTAAAACAGGGAGCTAGACTTCAGGAAGGCCTTCGATACGGTATCCCACACCATACTGGTAAACAGGTTAAGAGGCTGTGACTTAGATGACTACACAGTCTGGTGGGTGGCGAATTGGCTAGAGGGTCGCACCCAGAGAGTTGTAGTGGATGGGTCGGTATCGACCTAGAAGGGTGTGGGCAGTGGGGTCCCGCAGGGCTCGGTCCTTGGACCGATACTCTTCAATATCTTCATCAGCGACTTGGACGAGGGAGTGAAATGTACTCTGTCCAAGTTTGCAGATGACACAAAGCTATGGGGAGAAGTGGACACGCCGGAGGGCAGGGAACAGCTGCAAGCAGATCTGGACAGGTTGGGCAAGTGGGCAGAAAACAACAGAATGCAGTTCAACAAGGAGAAATGCAAAGTGCTGCACCTAGGGAGGAAAAATGTCCAGCACACCTACAGCCTAGGGAATGACCTGCTGGGTGGCACGGAAGTGGAAAGTGACCTTGGAGTCCTAGTGGACTCCAAGATGAACATGAGTCGGCAGTGTGACGAAGCCATCAGAAAAGCTAATGGCACTTTATCGTGCATCAGCAGATGCATGACGAACAGATCCGAGGAGGTGATACTTCCCCTCTATTGGGCGCTGGTCAGACCGCAGTTGGAATACTGCGTGCAGTTTTGGGCACCGCACTTCAAGAGGGATGCGGATAACCTGGAGAGGGTCCAGAGAAGGGCCACTTGTATGGTTAAGGGCTTGCAGGCCAAGCCCTATGAGGAGAGGCTAGAGAAACTGGATCTATTCAGCCTCCGCAAGAGAAGGTTGAGAGGCGACCTTGTGGCTACCTATAAGTTCATCACGGGGGCACAGAAGGGAATTGGTGA